CGCAGCGGGGGCTGGCCAGAGCGCGGGAGAGGGGCGGCAGCGGCCCGGGCGGGGGCCCTGCGTTCGGCTGCTTCCCCGGCCCGTGGTTAAAGTACTTGATTTTTTTTCTTATTATGCCCGAGGTCAGGATGAGGTATTCTCTAGAAGGTAGAGGTATAACAAAAATGATTCTAGGCTAGTGGTGAAGATGAGCATTCTTATTTATCACTCTTAAAATTAGACTGGCAGAAAGAGCTGTTCACTGTCTCTGTCGGTGCCAGTGTTGAGCAGTCAAGGACCTCGGTAGGATTAGAGCGCATCCCTTTGCCTTCAAGGGCCAGGTTGACCATTGTGGCCTTTCCAGTCTCTGGAGGTTTGCGTGGGCTCCCACCTTTACCCTGAGTCCTGACAGGGTTTTTATTTATCCTTGGTCTTGGACAACATTACCTCATTTAAGTCTACCATGTAGCGGCCTTCAGGGGCCTCCGCGCTGGGACCATTTACTGTAAGCCGATCCTCCGGGCACCAGAGCATCTGAGTGCTGCTTGAGCCGTCTTGTCAGTTCAGAAATTGGGCATGTTTCCACTTCTAGATACTGGCTGACTACAGCGTCAGAACGCCTTACTCCTCTCCTGATTGATCTTTACAGCTTCACCATCCTCAGGCACGTTGTGTCTGGCCTCTACTAAGTGCTCTTAATTCTGTACTCACATATTTCTGAGTGATAGTGAAGAAAATATCATAGTGATAGAAAAGGCTTTGTACATATCCGGCCAATAGAGTATCACAGCTACTCTCTTATTCCCAGGGAAGTCCAACTACTAAACAAATGAAGGAAAAGTAAGAAACCGTCTTTCTGAGGATTGATTTCTAATAGAGTTTTGTCGCCCATCCTTAATCAGAAAACCATCCCTTCAAAAGGAAGCAGTGCCGTAAATAGATTGTCTTCTTTGAGCCTCAGCTAAGTGTGTGTTCAGTGTCTTTACACCTTCGTTTCTGAAACAACTCAGTCTTCTTGCAGGCATGTGGTAGACAGCTACTCTCTGTATTTTTAACACAAACGAAAGTTCCTCTTGTTCCTGCTCTCGCTCTCTCTCTGTCAAATAAATAAATAAATAAAATCTTTAAAAAAAAAAAGGAAGTTCCTCTTATTAATGGAGTTTAAAAAAAAAATTATGATATGGGGGCGACTGGGTGGCTCAGTCGTTAGGCGTCTGCCTTCGGCTCGGGTCCTGGTCCCAGGGTCCTGGGATCAAGTCCTGCATCAGGCTCCCTGTTCCCTGCTCGGTGGGGAGTCTCCTTCTCCCTCTGCCTCCCCCCCTGCTCGCTCTCTCTCTCAAATGAATAAAATCTTAAAAAAAAAACTCTAAAAAATTATTATACGATGTAGGTAGTTGAGATCATAATTATCTAGTTTAGTCCCCTTGTTGGAAACTAGGCCCCAGGCTAGAAAGGGATTACCCAAGACACACAGACTGATAGCAGCAGAGCTGGGGAAATAACCAAAGAATCCTGATCTGTGTTTAAGGATAATAATAACAAATGTTCATCCAGGGAGATGAAATGATCAACAGTCATTGACCACATTTCTTATGAGGTTCCCCTTTGCTGTCCCTCTCTTGGGAATGAATTATAAACCTTCTCCATGTTCCTTGGCTGAAAACGTACTTTGGGCATTTTGCTCCAGGATAGTTTTGAGGGGATGGAGAAGGAACAGGAGCAGAACTTGCTTCAGCCAGGAGCCAGAGAGCTTTCCAAATTTGACCCATCCCTTTCTCTGGTGACCCTTGTCAGGACTTACCTAGAGAAGCAAGTGAGTGAATGTAAGGAATTGCCATCTTAAAGCAGTAATTTACAAGAGGAAAATGGCAGTATGCCATAGATGTTTATTATAATTTTATTAGTAACAGCCAAAAGAATCAAAGTAACCTAATTGTTCAAAAACCCATCTGTGCAGCCATTAAAAGTCATGGTTATAGAGTTTGTACAACAATGTGAAACACTCATGAGATAATGTTGAAATTATGGGAAAAGTATGTACTTGAAAAGGGATTTAAATATAAGATACCAAAAAGATAAAAACAGTTGTATTAGGATAGTGGGATGGAAGTCTGGGTGTTTTTTTTCCCCCTTTTGTGTATATTCTTACATTCCTGGTCCGACTATACTCCTTTCATAATTATGTATATATTGTTCTTTAAAACAGTCTCTAGCAAGACAGACATCTGAGTCTACTTTGATTCTCCTCCCACTGTGGTTTGTCTGTCCCCCACTTTCCCTTCCTAATCCCATCTTTGGAGGAGACATGATAGTGAAGAAAAGAGAGTCCTGAGCAGTAATCAGGAGACATGGATTCTGTCCCAATTGACTCTGACCTTGAGCGAGCACTTAGCCTCAGGGGGCCTTGGTCTCAGCTCCTCTGAAGTGAGGGAGTTGGGATCTGCGCTCTCTAAGGTCCCTTTTGACTCTCATATTCTTAGATTTGAAATGGAAATAAAACTGTCTGCCTGACATGGTCATTGTGAGGAATAGCTGAATGGATTGGAGTGGTTTTGTATTAGTAGATTGCTGTGATAGGGTAGGGTGTCCTCATGAAGTGTCTGTTCCTCAGTATGCTGCATTGGGGATAGGTGAGAGGAAGAGAAAATGTTTTCCAAGTAGTCTGGACTCTTCAAAATAAAGGAACTCACCAGTGAAGCATACCCTTCTCAAAGCAATGAATGTCTTAAACTCCAAGAAATAAGCTAATCTAGTTCTGCCCCTAAAGCCATGGTGGTCTCTGTGGGTACTAGCTCTAGGTTGGCTGTTGCAGGTGCAGCCCTGGGCCCCTGAAGGAAGTTGTGGGGCCGGAGCTCTGGTCTTCCCAGGGCACTCTGCTTCTCCCTCAGAGATGCCTCAGCGTCTTTACCCTCTGACCTTAACCTGAGTGATGTTGGAGCCTTGTACTGTATCATTCGTTCAGTTGGTGAGTGGTTGTGTTCTCATACGTGCACATAACCTGCCTCAGTAGAATCCAGTGTGCGTCAATACAGGGACAGAAAATCTCAGGCTGTCAGCATCCTGACGCAAGTAGCTGGCCCCTCTGGTTTCCTTTCTCTCCCAGGACCTACCTTCAAAGGCACCAAATGTGAGAGCTGAGCTGCAGCACGGAGGGACGTCTTAGTCTGAAACGAGGGACTGGAGGGAAGGGATAGGCCTTTAATATTCTGAATCATTTTGTTTCTGAACTGACAGAATTAAAGCATTAGGTGGTCTTCTTAATGCTATTTTTTGTTCATCTTCCTGACGTAGAACTTTGTAGATTGTGTCTGATGCTTGACATCTAACCACGTGGCCACAAGGATGTTCCTACCTATTTGTTTTTCTGTGGTGACAGTTTGTTCTGCCTTCTGAAAATGGCCCAAATCTCAAGAGTCCTTGTGTTATTAGATCAATTATCATCAAGGGCTTTTCAAATTTTTTATTTCTTCTTACATTCTCTACCTGGTTCTTCAGTGCCATTTCCAAACTGAAGGTGCGAACAAGTTAATCCCACTGCCCCAATGCTATACATTTTCTCAGGGGAGCCACAGAAACAGAATCTTATGGACGCATCTTATCAGTGAAATAAAGAGCCTTAATAACAAAACAAAACAAAAAGCACTACCATTTATGAATTACAATGGAATCCTAACTTATTCCCAACCAGTAGTCTGAGCTATGTCAGAGTCAGGGATCTCTTAGCAGAAATTGTTCAGCTCAAATGTATTTTAGCTGGAGGTGTGCCTTCTGTGGTAGTAGATTGCTTAAAGCTCCTCTTTGGAGGCATTCTGAATGAGTGTGACCCCAGAAGCAGAAAGTGGTCCTGTAGGATACATTCTTGATTTTTGGAGTTAGAAATAGCTTCTGCAATCTTATGCACTGGGCTGTATTGTGTATGGTTGCTCTGTATATTATTACTGATGAAGATTGAAATTTATGTATAAACAGCAGATAAATACCATGCCATCAGTCCCAAAGTTATAGCTCAGATTGTCAAAAACTGTTTTTTCTTTCTGGGTGTTATTGGTAAAATCAGCCACTTGAGCCCCATGTTAGCTCTCACGTGGCATTTTTTATTATGCTTATCTGTTTATTTGTTTTTCCTTTCCCTTCTTTTGGGAACACTTGCCATTTTTTTTTTTCCCTAGCAGATTCAAGCCCCAGTAAGACAACAGCCAAAGGTTCAAACAACCCCACCTCCTGCCGTCCAGGGGCAGAAACTCGGATCTCTCACTCCTCCATCATCCCCCAAGACCCAACGTGCTGGGCACAGACGGATTCTCAGTGACGTAACCCACAGCGCAGTCTTTGGGGTCCCTGCCAGCAAATCAACCCAGCTGCTCCAGGCAGCTGCAGCTGAGGCCAGCCTCAATAAGTCCAAGTATGTGGTGCTTCCCCTTTCTCTTTTTCACTTTTGTGGGCCAGGGCTGCTGTGGGCCACTACTGTGTAATTCTCTGCATCTGTATGTAGATGTGTATGGGTACATGTATATGAAGGTACGTATGTGTCTGTGTTTATTAAGAAACTGAAGTTGCCTGTAGTACCTAGACCATACTGATCTTAAGGAATAATTTCATACTTGCTTTATTGTTTCCATTCTCTCATCCATTCCGTGTTCTGCGGAGTATTTTTTAAAATCTTAGTCTGACCAACCCTCTCCATGATGAAAATCTTTCATTGGCTCCGCATTGCCAGAGGGATAATATCTGAACTCATTGGTTAACAGACCAAAGGCCATTGTATCACATTTGTGGCTTTGTCATTCTCTGTCTTTGTGAGCACGTTGTTCATCCTATGCCCTCTCCCTGAACTACCACTCTCCTCCTTGTCTACCTAGGAAATGCTTATTTAGTCATCAAGATCCATGTCAGTGGTTACTTTTTCTTTGGCTCCTTGGGTGTCATATATAAATTTGTCTGAACCTTTTTGGAGATGTATCACTTTATATTATCATTATTTATTTGTATATCCAGCTGACCTAGCCTGCAAATTCCTCCAAGACAAGGACCATGTCTTAACCATTGTAAATCCAGTGACCGGCTCTGTGCCTGAAATAAAGTAGATTGCAGTGAGTGCTAGGTAAATGCAATTTTGGACCCTCAGCTTTCTTGGAACCGTGGACTCTAAAGTTAAAAATCTTTAAGTTGTTAGTTAAATGCAAAGGGCATCAAGAGAGACTTCAGAAGAAAATTAGGTAATAATACCTAGAAACACAAAGTAGTGATAACTGTGTTTATTTCTCCTTAACTGTGGTGGTGACCACTCATGGCGGCCCTTCATTCTATGCATGCTAGATCCTGACCGCTGGGAGGCAGCCTGAAAAGGTATCGGTCCCAGCTGCACCGGGGTCAGTTATTAGAGGTTAGCGTGGGTTGGCGTCACAGGACTCACAAGCCTAAGAAGAGGCTGCTTTGGGATTCTGGATTGAAAGGACTTGCTGATGAGACCAAAAATCTAAGCAAAAGATTAAAGAAGTAGTGGGAGATAGTGGATCGTGAAGGAAAGGGAGACATTTATTTCACACAGTGATAAAAGTATCTGTGAAAACTGTCCAGTTGCCTTGGAAAGCCCTTTTAGAAAACCACTGCAGAAAATAATGGTTTGACTCAGAAAACAATTTGATCTCAAAACAAAGAGAAAGTAGATTGACCCTTTTTCAACTTTTTTCATTTCGTGGGGGTGGGAACCTACCTAGGTCTGCAACCACCACTCCATCAGGTTCTCCTCGGACCTCGCAGCAAAACGTTTATAATGCTTCAGAAGGTTCTACGTGGAATCCCTTCGATGATGACAATTTCTCCAAACTCACAGCTGAGGAACTGCTGAACAAGGACTTTGCCAAGCTGGGGGAAGGTGAGCAGTTGGTGTCCTTCTGTGATTCTTAAACCCTAACTCTAGAGGGGTATGCATGTGAAAATGTAGGGTTGGGTCTTTCCTTCCCTCAGAGGCTTGATTTGAAGTTTGAGTGCAAATTGCTTTGAATGTTTACTAGAGCACTGACGGTCTTTTCATCCACAGGAACTCCTGGCCAGTTGTGGGTGGCGGTAAGGAGAGTGGGACAGTATTAGCAAAGATTTGGTAGCATAGTCAGGATGATACGGTCAAGCATGGTCATTCCTTGGAGGAGTGTAATGGTTTTCTTGTCCTATGCCAGAAAGTTATAACTGCTTACCCAGGAGAGAGTGTGCCCTCACATGAACTTTGAATCTTTGATTACGGTCAGAGTTCTGTAGTACTGTGACTGACTGTAGAGAAGTGATCAAATAAATAGAAGGTACCGTTTCTACTCTCAAAAACCCACAGTCTTGGGGCACCTGGGTGGCTCAGTCGTTAAGCGTCTGCCTTCAGCTCAGGTCATGATCCTGGGGTCCTGGGATCGAGCCCTGCATTGGGCTCCCTGCTCAGCGGGAAGCCTACTTCTCCCTCTCCCACTCCCCCTGCTTCTGTTCCCTCTCTCGCTGTGAATCTCTCTGTCAAATAAAAACAAACCCACAGTCTAAGAGCCCTTAGTGGCTCGGTCGGTTAAACGTCCAACTCTTGATCTCAACTCAGGTCTTGATCTCAGGATCATGAATTCAAAACAAAACAAACCCACAGTCTTATTTTGAAAGGTGGGACTCATACACACAGACACACATGCACACTTTGGAAAACAACAACATGCCCTGGAAAAATTCTTCAAAAAGAGTACCTCGGCATTAGACAAGAGCACAGGGTAAAGGAATGATCAGAAATGAGTGAATGATATGAACTTTGGCCATATCTTTTAACTTTACTCTTCTAACTTTTGTTAATCTCTTTTAACTTTATTATTTTATAGGTATCTTTTAAAAATTTGTATTACTTAGGGTGCCTGGGTGGCTCCGTCATTAAGCATCTGCCTTCGGCTCATGTCATGGTCCCAGGGTCCTGGGATCGAGCTGCACATCGGGCTCCCTGCTCGTCAGGAAGCCTGCTTCTCCCTCTGCTTGTGTTCCCTCTCTTGCTATGTCTCTATCTGTCAAGTAAATAAATTAAGTCTTAAAAAATTTTTTTTATATTACTTTCTAATTGTTTTAAACAAAAGATAGGGTATAGGACTTAACTCTGACAGACAGCTAACCCATTGTCAAATTATTTCATTGTTATGTATGCCAGTTACTGTTCTAGAATAAACAGAAATACCTTCGTGGGCTATTGAAAATGCTAGTATTTTTGCACTTGATTAAGAGACTCCCAGGTTTTAAAATTCTTGTGTCTATTTTTCATAATTTCCTGTCTCTCTTCTGTCACATTAAACTGCTGCCATTGTGCCTGTCCCTGGTCACTTCTCACTCCTGCCGTTTCCCCCACGCCCCCTTCTCATGTGCTCTCCTGAACTGTTTCCAACATGGAAAACCGATTGGCAAACTCAGTAGAATTATATCAAAACAAATAGACTCAAAGTAAGGACTGGAGACATTATGCCTGAGTAATGTGCTTGAGGTTTTGGGCTTTAGCTCCAGCCATCTCTTTTGTTGCTTATTTATTTATTTATTTGAAAAAAAATTTAATTGTGATAAATATACAAGCGCCTGGGTGGCTTAGTGGGTTAAGTGTCTGCCTTAACCCCACTCAGGTCATAATCCCAGGGTCCTGGGATCGAGCCCCGTGTTGGGCTCCCTGCTTAGGGGGGAGAGTGCTTCTCCCTCCCCCACCCCCCCGCTCATTCTCTCTCTCTCTCTCAAATAAGTAAATAAAATCTTTTTAAAAATTGTGATCAGGGCGCCTGGGTGGCTCAGTTGGTTAAGCAACTGCCTTCGGCTTAGGTTATGATCCTGGAGTCCCAGGATCGAGTCCCGCGTCGGGCTCCCTGCTCAGCAGGGAGTCTGCTCCTCCCTCTCATGTGCTCTCTCTCATTCTCTCTCTCAAATAAATAAATAAAATAAAATAAAATAAAAAATTGTGATCAGTAAACATAACATAAACATGAACTTCTTAACCATTGTCAAATGTAGAGTTCAGTAGTGTTAACTACATACACATCGTTGTGCACCCAGTCTCTGGAACTCCTTCCATCTTGCAAAACCGATGTGCTGTCTTTGATTCTCACAACTTCCTTTTCTCAGCTGTTGTCTCAGTTATTGCAATGATTAGACAAGGACCTGCAAATGTCCGAGGTGTTGCCGTAAGGCGGTAAAAGGAGTCAAGTCTAGAATTCGGTTCAGAAGGTGCCTTCCACCACCTGCATGTGTGTGTGCATCATGGGATTCTGCTGGGATGAACTGAGTGGTGTTTTGTCCCTCCAGGGAAACATCCTGAGAAGCTTGGAGGCTCCGCTGAGAGTTTGATCCCAGGCTTTCAACCAGCTCAAGGTGATGCTTTTGCCACTCCCTCGTTTTCCGCCGGAACCGGTTAGTATAGCAGGTGCCTGAAACACAGGGCTCACAGTCGTTACCTCCACAGTTTCAACTGCTGCACAGATAAGCCTGGCACACCAGTAAGCCCCAAATCTTGTGTATTTTCTTTTATTCAGAAGATTTCCAATATAAAAGCTAGGGAAAAAGAAATCTCTAGAATCATTCTGAATTAAAATGACAGAATGATGTGTCAGTAATATACAGGATTTGTTCTCTCTAGTTCACACACATGCTTTAAGCAAATATTTCTAAATTTAAGAACATCACTCCGTTAATCGCTTGTAATTGCTTAGATCTTTGGAATGACTTGAAGAATTCTAAAAATTAGATGTTCTATCCTCTATCCAAGATTCTACTGAGCTGTGTTTCTGTGTGTGTGTGTGTGCGTGTGTGTGTGTGTGTTTACAGGGAGAGGAAGATATCTTTTTAAATTAGACCTTCTTTTAAATTAAAGAAGCAATAGTAAAAAACTTTCTCCTTTATTAATAAAAATTATACATAGTCAACTATACTTCAACTAAAATTTCTTAAAATTAGAAAATTGTACATATTTATTACATAAAAGTCAGTAATTTATAGAAAAGCATAGAGAAGAAAGTTAAAATCCCCATAATCTCACCATTAAGAAGTAGCACAGGGATACCATTTTGGTGTCTATTAGTGGCATTTAACCTTTTTAGGGTCACAGCTATCTTCGTGAATGTAATGAAAGTTACAGATCTTCCTCACGAAAATACATGACCACATTTTGTACATAATTTTTAGCCTCAGCCTAAGACTCTAATGTACATCTTTATTGTCCTATTTTCAAACCAGATTTTCTCTCTTACTAAGTCTGGCACATTGCCCACATCATTAAAGACTCTCCTAAAAGATAAATTTTAAAAGGTCTGTATTAGGGGCGCCTGGGTGCCTCAGTCAGTTAAATGGCTGCCTTCGGCTCAGGCCATGATCTCAGGGTCCTGGGATCGAGCCCTGCGTTGGGCTCCCTGCTCAGTGGAGAGTCTGCTTCTCCCTCTCCCTCTGCCTCCCTCTCTGCCTGCCTCTCTGCCTACTTGTGCTCTCTCTCTATATCTCTGTCAAATAAATAAATAAAATCTTTAAAAAAAAAATAAAAGATCTGTATTAAATTGCTTCATATGGATTTGTCCTAATGTTTCTAACCAAGTAACCTCTTTTTTTAAAACATTAATTTGGTTTCAGTGTTTTCCTGTTATAATTCCCTCAGCAACCATATGAGATTTTGAGCATATATATTCCTTGTAGATATGGAATTTGATATGCTTCCAAAATTGATCTTTTTAATTTTATTGATTAATTTCTGATTTTAACCTTATGTATTCTTTCTTCCCACCTTTCTTCCCACACCTTCTTTAGGTGTGTTAGCAGTTTTTCTAACATCATAAATTTATTTCTTATTGGAACTTTGGCTGTCATTGCATAATATCTTTTATGGTTTCTTTACGATAACCTCTAGAAGATTATTTGTTAAATCAAAAGATTGTCTTTTAAGGCTTTTGGTGCATATTTCTAAACTAGCCTCTGAGAATGCTATACAAATTTTATTTTGATCAGCAGTGAATGAGAGTAATTTTCCCTCCACTTCTCCACCCAGCCCAGATCAGAAGCTGTAGATAGGACAGTGTTTACTGGCCACTTTTTTTTCTGGGATTTGTGTTGTTTATGTCCTTTGCCTTTTTTTTTTTTCTGATGTTCTTTGTTCATTTTGTTCTTATTAATTTGTAAGAGCTCTTCGTATATCCTGTACTGTAAACATTTTCCCCAGTCTGTCCTTTGTCCTACACAAATATATGTCATCTGACCCTCAACACCATCCTCACAGTTGAGGTACTGAGCACAGACTAGTCTCTTTTTCAGGATCACATAGCTTGGAAGTGGCAGAGCAGGGACATCAACCCCCTCCCCTGGCTCTAGAACTTCCTCTCTCAGGTTTTCTGCCACATAATGAGGCAAATTTAGTAATAATTTTCTAGAAAATCATAATGCAGTTTAAAAATTTTTTAAATAGGGATGCCTGGGTGGCTCAGTCGGTTGAGCATCTGCCTTTGGCCCAGGTCATGATCCCAGGGTCCTGGGATCGAGCCCCCTGTCGGGCTCCCTGCTCTGTGGAGAGCCTGCTTCTCCCTCTGCTGCTCCCCCTGCTTGTGCTCTCTCTCTCTGTCAAATAAATAAGTAAAATCTTTAAAAAATAAAAAAATAAAATTTTTTAAATAAAATAGAATAATGCATTTAAACCTTCCTTTTATAATATTTTCTTTGTATACATATCAATTTTCATTGTATGAAATGAAACTCACTTTAGCTAGAGATTTGTTGTTTTAGCATCTTTCCAAGACAACTCTTAGATGTATAAAATCTACCATTCTCCTGTCTTCTAATTCTTTAACTTTTGTTTTGTTTTTTTTTTTGATTATAGATCCCTGTTTTTCTTAGGTTTGCTTTGTCAATATTAAAAGGA